GAACAGTTCAGCCAGGTGAACGTAAGAGTCGGTGAGAATCGGTCCCAACTCCAGACTGGTCAACTGTAGGACTAGGCAAAGTTGCCAATAAATCATCTTTTCAGACGTAACTGTCAAACTTGGGGCAGATTTCTCATCAACTTATCCACACCGTTCTTTTTGTTAGTTTGGTTCATTAGCACCAGGTGGGTCCTCTGGAATGGAGCAGCAAATGGAGGGAGTGAGACTGAAGGTGTGCTGTTGATAGAAGACATCTTCCGAACGTTCAGGCTAATCGTGTATGTCTAAACAGTAAGCATCCAGCTTGGGAATAAATCTTCCAAGTTATTTGGTACAGTGTATATTTTACTATGAGGACGATGAGTAAGAAAATCGGCCGAAATCGGCCTGCTATGCTCACCACAGCTTTTAACCAGTCGTATACAAATCCCTATCACCTGTTGATCTTTCTGCCTCACGTTGAGGTTAGATACCCCCGCCCCCGAGATAGTTAGTAATGGGTCAGTTATTTGCCTGCCGATATTCTTTATCTTGTAATACTGCTTGCTTGGTCAATTGGATTATTACATTCTGTTGCTTTGATGACCTGGACTGATATCGAACTGTGCGTGACCTGAAACGGATTTTCGGATCACTAGGGTTGGTTCCTGATGAGGACACCGGTTGACCTCACATGCACTCTGCACTAATCAGTTACAGAATGTTCTGGTCACAGACTGTTCAGGCTCATGTCATGACTTACAGCAAACCGTAATAGTTTCCTGCACTTCATAACGATCCAAATGCACGTGTTCTTTGTACTTTTGTCCTGTGTGCGACCTTTTGAAGCGCAGCTCAAGTTCTACAATGGTGAGATTAGCTAAGATTTGCTTTCATCGCATGGTCGCAAGCGGTTGAGACATTCTACATTATGAATGTGCCTGCATTACCCTATGTGGTGCATGAATTGCTACCAGGGGCCTCATAGGAATTGGTTATAGAATTCCGCGTGAACTAATATACACATGCTTGGGTTTGACGTGCTAAAAATTTGCCAGTTTGTCGCCTTCAGTCAAATTGTACCGGTTCATGAGCATGCCCTGTTAATACGGAAGCGGAAGAAGCATCGAATGAATTCGAGGTTCTGGCTATGACAGTTAAAAGCTTGGTTAAACAGCATATCTTTCTTCTTTTTATCGTTAATGGAAAGATCCGCTACAGAACGACTGCGAGTACCAGCAGTGGTTGGTCCTGCTTCCCTCCGTTCGCAGAGTGCCGAACTCTGCTCCACGGATGTGTTTGTACGTTGCATTACAAATCGTATTCTATTCCTCATTGGTCGTTGCACACTCCCTCTCCTTCACCGTTCAGGAAGGATTCTAGGCGATATTTTCTTGTCACAGAACTCGGTCCATCTGTTAGTGGCCCACAAGCTATGTTGAAATTTCTGTCTGCCATTTCGACTAGATGTGCCCTTATCAGATCTGATTCCGAAATGTTCCAGAGTTACTGTTCGCCTAATAATTCCTTCGATGAAGCCGGAAATTAACGGCGGAGCTCTTTTCGTTATGAGACGTATTCAGTCTGATGGACTGTGTGACCCATTCGGGAAAGCGATGCATGCTATCGTTAATTATTAATCGCGATGTGGTGGCTGAGAGTTTCCATGATACCGACTTGAAATGTGTACGCTCACAAATACTCCCACACGAAGGCTTGTCCAAGCTGACCAGCAGTCTACTTGGCTCTTTTATGTACGACCATCGTTAGATCTGGGTATTTCACCAACTATTTTCCTCTCAGTCACTTCAGTTACTGAAAAGCAGGGCATGGTTAACGGTACTATCAAGACAACAATATCACGAATGCTGAAGACAGGATACTCGTTGATGAAAGCTCTCTAAGTTCATTGATCAGTTCTTCTGACTTTACTGTCGGTACTTATTCGCAAAAATGCACCTTTAGAAATATGCTGAATGGTCATAGATAGGTAATTAACGAGGACGATTGATGGCCGACCGTTTTGCTGCTTTGCTTGGAAGTGAAAAAGCCAAAGAATATATTCGAGCTGAGACCAATAATCGCTTTACTGCAATACTGCAGTAACTGCGATAGAATCATTGCCGTCTTATCTTTATGAAATTTGACACAACCTAACAAGTGACGGCATGCAAATCATCACCTTCCTAACTTTATGAAAAACTGGGACATTCCTCGTTTTTACAGGCTCGTTATTACTTTCTCATTACCGATTGATATTGGCACCAAGCTTCTGCATGTTGGTTTCCCTGATGTCTGTACACACTTGCGCTTGATTTGTAGTCACCCTACTTGATCGCCAATCTTCAGTTTGTGCTGAAACATCTCATGCGCAGACCGTCACAATGGGGTTTGCCGGAAAGCCAGTCTTTGTAGGGTTTCTCCTCAGTTAGTCACGGCTTTGGCTTATCCGGGCATCTCAGGAGTTGAAACCAGTTACGACTTTTATGAACGTAATACACTACTCATAAGGTTGCTGAAAACTCTTCGACAACTCACGACCGGTTTTGTTCCTTTTGAGGCTCATCAGGTAGGTGCAATCCCCAAGTTTCCGTCAATATTATGTTCCACTTGACCCCAAATTGCGTGAACTTAGCGAAATACATTCATTTACATACTAATTTGGTCAAAGAACAGCATAAGCTGGGTTCCAGGTAAGTCTCCCGTCAAAACCAAACTGGTATGAAAATGAGCGTATTTCGCCAGTTCTGGCTTTATTAATCTAATGATCATCTGGACTCGCATGTACAATTTCTATTTACGATGAAATTGCGCACGATATGATGCATATGATATTGATATAGTTCACTCCATGGGCTGAAGGGAAGATTACCATGTAGTGCTCTTGACTTCACAGGTTTCGGCTGATGCTTTCGAAATGATCCCAGTCAGACTGGTTCTCATCATACGCACCCACAGTGACATCACATTGTTTTTCAAATCGGTTGCCAGCCATGTGTGCCAAGTGAGGTCGTCCCCAATTTCTCCCTATTGCTTGTCGTCGTTGTCCTCATCACCACCACCACTTTTGCTCGTTACGGATCCGGCAATTTACCCAACCGCCTGAGGCCACTCATGGTGAGCAATGGATTTTAGTTTTAGTTCATGTCAGCCGACTGAGTCTTTGAGTCAGTCGGACCTCATGCCCATTGTTCCCTACAAGTTGCGAAACACCACCACCACCACCACCACCACCACCAGCAGCAGCTATACAGTTATCGTACTCATTTACAGCTTTGCATCTCGCCTGTAGGTAACTGGTTCGTGATGTCAAAGAGTTCAATAGCCGTCAATGAAAAGGTGAACTTGGGGAATGAACGGGTTAACTTCCAAATAGTGTCTCAGAGACTGTTGCCTGAAGCCGACCGTTGGCTACGGCATGTTGACACGTCACAGAATGTATTCACTCTGTTGATGGGGTTCTAACCATATCTTCTGGTGGACGACATTGACGAACCCTACACAGTGGTGCACTTAAGGCCTTCACATCATGATAGACCTTCTGCCTACCATCTGGCACCGGTGTTCAGTCTTGTAGGAGCCTCACAAACAACATTTTACTTGGAACTCCCTCTGTTGACATTATGAGAATCCATTAGGGCGGAAAATCCATCTTTGAACGCACAGTGTGTTTGCGCATGTTCTCGTACAAGAGGTTTACACACTTCCCTACTGTTCTTCCTAATGGGTGACCTGGCAGGATGCCAGAAGTTTCTGGCATTTGGGGTGGGGAATGAAGAATTGCAGCAACGCAATTGCATCCACTATGCCTGAGTTAATTAGCGAAAGCTTATTGATGGGGTTGTGGCGCTCCGAAAGCAATCGATAAGGGGCCACACCTTATCCGGTATCGTTGTCTTTGTCGCGCCAAGTTCTTCCCAGCAGACTTAGAAAGACATCCTTCTTTGTTTTATATCTTTCGAGACTTATAGTTCGCACTGAATTAACGGTAACGTGATTAGTCCAAACTTTCATCATTCCTATTAGCTGGGCACATGTCTACTTCCTTTATGTTGCCTCATCATCTCTGGGGTGAACAAACCTATATACGGATGTCATACAAGTAAATTCACGTCTGCTTTTTGGAACCACTTCAGGTTTTTGTGTGACCTTTTTTAAGAACACGTACCCACGCGAAACGCCTCGTTGCTGATGGCGTTATTATACCTGTCTGCTGTTCCCGCTCCAGTGCCGGGTGCTGGAAAAGACTCACCGACAAGGAACGCAACAACTTTGTTGTGGACAAGTCACTGAGAGTGCGCGAGTGCGAAAGTACATAGGCCTCAATCTATTTTTTCGAGGAGTACAGTCTGACCTCGGTTCGACGCTGTCTTGCGCTGTTTGGCTTTGATTCAGGGCTCTCTGGTCGATGTCTAGTGGAGTTGAGGGTCTCAGTAGATTCCGGCATTCTGTGGTTACTTTCAGGAATCTGACCTTCTTGAAGTAGGAAGTAATTGTGCAACTACCGATGGCAGCTGCTCAAACTGCTTGATGAGGTGAAGCATGCCCTGCTGAAGCGGCATCAAAGAATGTAAATCACAAGGAACCACCTTATGGCGAGACTGACTTATTCACTCGCGCACGGCCGAGTCCACCTAAACACCCTCAGAAGCCCAAACAATTACATCAGATAATCTATTCGTGGCTGACTATGTCTATCGAAGGACAACCCAATCAGCTACATCCACGCCGGTAAACAACATGGGGGACTTGGTGCGACCATCCTGATGCAGAGGTAGTGCGTTTGGAAAAGCTTCTGTCTATGGAGTGTCATGTACTACGCAATGTGGTCAGTGATTTCGCATTTGGCAAGACTGCTTGGGATCTTAGCCTTCTGATCCAATGTGCTCGCAAGGGAACTCACCAAATGTTTCCGTCGCCTGGAATGCACTATCATCAAGGAGTTGAGAGCACCTACGTCGACGTCTTTCAGCAAGCCTGACCTGATCACCGTTCGGGAGCGTCGATGAAAGTCAGTTCATCTAGGCTTTCGTGGATGCGGCGGTTTCTGGTGGACCATGTGGTGCACGCATGCGCTTGAACAGACTCAAACGCATGCGCGCGCACAATTTGGTGCTTTGTTCACTCGACAGACCACCGCGCGTGCGCTGTCTGGTGGTAGTTTTGAATGAAGTAGCTCCCGGACGGTGTTTGACGACGTGAACCGGGGTCACTGGAAATGCGGGGCAAAGGTCAGGCCATTTGTAGCCCGCATAGGTCACTTGGTGATATGTGACAGCTTTGTTGACCTCAACATCCCATCTGGCTCTTGCTTCTATCGAGCTTGTCCAACAAGAAAATGGACAGCGTGAACTCAACAAACTAGCTACAATCAGGATGCTTTCCATTATCAATATCCGCGCATGGATTGGATTCTGTAATTGAATTCATGGCGAGACTAGTCTCACTGTGTATGGTCCAAGTGGGACTGTCTTGTGAATATGGGATAGATGAACAGATGCATGCACTGCAAATGCTTTCACAAACGCAACAGCTGTACGTAGCTAGGGCGTCGACGAAAACGAACTTACGTAAGTTAGGAAGGAGTACGTGTGATGTGAACAAACTTATTTTCGGCCAGGTCTCGTCCGACCATTGCACAGAGGTTTTAGCTGATGGTTTGAAGAAAAAATTGGTTAATATAAAAAAGTACAAATTATCAAGGAAATCAGTTGCTGTCCAGGTGGTTGTTGATCTACTCGACAAGCTTGGCAGCTTATTTGTAAAATTTTGGTCACCAGTCGAAGGGAAACGCAGTCAGTGCATGGCTAAGTTGCATATATACGGTTTCCAATGGCTGTCTGACATCTAACGATGTGCCCGGCTAGTTGGATGGAGGTATCTCTCCATAGATTTTGCCGGTCCATCTATGACATGCACTGCATTGTGATTTTCATTTCTCACATTATTTCACAACCGATTTAGTTCTGCCCTGGATACCCTACCTCGATCAGCAGCTGCGCTCAATCTGTTCAAATTGACCGGATGGGAATAGCTGGCATACTTCTGCAACAGGCGAGATGGTTAGAGTACGAATTTACTGACCGGAAGTCCGTGGTTCCGAATCCGACCTCCGCTTCTCGACTTCCCCTGTCTAGGCTTGGGCAACCTGGCAGTATCCCAGCCCTCGTGCTTCCTTCGGGTGGCATGGCAGCTAGGCACCGGAAGGGTGCTACAGCTGAACGCTTTCTGTGCTTTCACGTGTATTTGTGCCTAACTGTACAGGTGCACCATGTGAATCCTAGTCCGAGTACTTAACTCCAAATCAACCGAAGTTGTGTACCGTGCACTGCGTCTTATGAGCCTGATCGCGGGTACTTACTCTAGAGCACCGAGGTTACGTCGCGGTTCGAATCCGACCTCCGCCACTCGACTTCCCCTGTCTAGGCTTGGGCAACCTGGCAGTATCCCAGCCCTCGTGCTTCCTTCGGGTGGCATGGCAGCTAGGCACCGGAAGGGTGCTACAGCTGAACGCTTTCTGTGCTTTCACGTGTATTTGTGCCTAACTGTACAGGTGCACCATGCGAATCCTAGTCCGAGTACTTAACTCCAAATCAACCGAAGTTGTGTACCGTGCACTGCGTCTTATGAGCCTGATCGCGGGTACTTACTCTAGAGCACCGAGGTTACGTAACAAGCAACAAATATGGTTGTGATCAGAACTTATTTGACGACAGCTGATCGGTCAACAAAGGGTGGCTAGATGTTGTGTTTGGGCCTTGAAATCACAGTATTTTATGTCAGACCTCTCCACAGAAAGTACTACTGAAAACAGTGGATACACCCAAACACGCAAAGTAGTCCATTACATGCCGAATAAGGTCATCACGTCCGAATTTAATCGCTATTTTCGAATTCAAGTCGGAGCGAAAAATCCGTTCCAAAGATGGCTTTCGGGGCCAAATGTAAAAAAGAGAATTAGACCTGATCCGTGCACTCACCACAGGGCTACAAAGGTGAAGAACTCAGTGACATTCTACATCCCGTCGAGTTCGCACAAAGAAAGCGCACACTGGACTGTCTCGTGTTTCGGTTGCCACATTAACGAAAACAATTGTCAATCATAATTACTAACAGAAAAAGCTCAAATCTTCTCGCACGGAGCGACAGACGTTTATCAACAAAATAGGGTCTGTAAAGGTGAACGCTGATGGAATAACTTCTGTTGTCTTTCGGGTTGTTATAGCGAAGAAAATCGAGTATTTTCCTGTGTATCACCACAGACCTCTATCTCCCATGAATAATCCTATGCATGGACAAACATCTCCTCAAGGAGGTAATTTTGAAGCAAGGTGTTTGTCCATTCTAATTCATTTCCGAGGAACTCGACCGTCACGAAGGTCAGGTGTGTCTAACACTACCATATTATCCGGATTTTACAAAAAACACTTGATTTCGTTTGGTAAATAGATTGACACGTATCATTGCCGGACATAGAACACCATCACAATACTTATTACAGCTACGCAAGGTAAATTAGCAGATGAAAGATCATTATTTGTTGAGCGCGAAATAGTCCCTTGTTGTTCCCAATGTTAAATTACACCTTGGGGACAGGATCATTCCCTCTTTTGGTCCTCAGTTGAGTCTCGATAAAGTTTATAAAATATTACTGACTTAGCCTAGATAAAAAACTGGGATGACAAGTACGCCAACGCATCTTCTTGATAAGTCAGTATATCTCAAATTTGTCGAAGTCCTGACAACTTGCTGCTGTTGGAGCGACCGGTGGCTGCATACCGTGCTGCCCGCTGTTGAAAACACCCATACACACCAGCTACGGGAGATGTACAGTCTTCTCAGCTCTGCTCCCTCTCTCTAGAGGAGGGTAATTTAGGGGGGGGGGCAGTTTAACCTCCCTGCGGATATTGAGTCTTAAACAGAGAGTAGTGCTTTGGAACCAGCCAATTTCAACCGAAATCGGAGCATCTGGTGTACCATAACCTGTCTGCTTTGTAATTTCACGTCAAATATACTATGAACGCCAATCACTGGATACCATGTCCTTCACTAGTAGCATTCCTCTCGTTAATCCCTTCCCCAAAGTTACCATGAGGGGCCACTTGGGGGAGCCTATATTCAAAAGTGCTATAGAGGGATGATATGTTCAGACCAGCGAAGCATTGCTAGTGCATTAGGCTGTTGGTGCGCTACAAAACTACCCTTTACAAGTGCGTCCAGCCAAAAAGCTGCCCACGAACAGTAACAGTGGTCCAACGCTGGCGCATCGCCGTGCAGGCATACGATTATAGTGTTTAGCATCTGTATGGCGGAAAGACTATTCAAGTGGATTGTTGTTCACGATGTGCTGCTGACTATTAGCTTTTTCAAGCGCTTCATTTGAGCCCTCGTTAGTCAGATTCTGACATAAGACGAAATTTCGGATCCATCCAAGAATCTTTGAGACGTCGTTGAACTGTCGCTGTAAAGTATCGTTTTCGCAGAAGAGATAGCAGTCATATTTGATGGTTTGTTTTGTTGGCGTGTGAATACATTTTCTTTGTTACCTTATTCATGCACATCTTGGTATAGAAAAAAATTGGAATTGTTGGCCTGTCATACTTGCTGGTGTACTGCAGCAGGCCTCAGTAATGAAATCGCACGCCGTGCCAACCAGTGTAAACTTGCTCGCATATCAGCATACTTTGGCTTTGAAGTAGGCCCCTGGGCCAGCGTCCTGTGGAGAGAATCCGTACTGATCACTGTGGCCTATTTCCGAACAAATATTAGACTTAGGTGCTTACTGTACCTTATTCTCCCTTATCAGAGGCATACGTGATCACCGTGGATCACACATTTTTACGTAGAACTTTGTGCGCAATTACTAGTCCGCGATACAGTGTATTAGTCCGTCAACATTGCAAGTGGATGTTTGTCGAATCAGCAGAGAAGTTCACATACATAAGCGCGATGAGGATCTCAGTCGGTAACAAGGCAGGTAGGCAATTCGACTCCACATATGTATGAGTACGTGAGTTTCCCATTTCACGGTCACAGACAACCATCCCGTAAAAGTGCAAACATAAGCTGCTGTATCGAGGCTGATAGGTGGGAAACATTCGCTTTATCAGAAAATGATACGGATGGGGAAAATATCGAATCGTGTACGGTTAAAGCAGTAGGGCAGGTAGCTGTGCCCAAGGTATTGTCAATAGTAATGCTTTTTTTCACGAATATCTTCACCAAATGTTTCAGCTTGTATAATTTAGGTGCATAGCTGCACTGTCACTCGGCGGGGATACTAGGGATGAGGTATTATCGAGGTGCCACCGAAAAGTATCAGTTGGATTCGGACCATGGACCTTCCAGTCAGTAGTCTCGTACCATAACAGCTGAGTTATCCGGAGCTCAACCCTCGAGCTCAAGACATACGCATAAAAGCATAAGAGTGTGAAATATTAAACGGGTAATTGATTAAAAACTGTGGTGGAATAACATTTTCTGGTCGTTAACTGTTCTCGTCAAGAAAACAGTGCAGAAGCGCTTCTGTTTTGTGGCTACGGGCGTGGAATATGCCCTGCGAATAGGATTTCACCACACGTTCGTTGTTTGGAGGATACCGAAGAATATTTGTCCCGAAGTAGAAAGTAGGTGCTTCCTCTGTGATTCTCGGTTCAGGTGTACCATACTTTTGATTGTCTGATGTGTTAGCATGGTTTGGATGAGAATCATTGAATAGTTACAGGCTGAAACAGACCTCATCTTATGAGAGAACTCCGCTAAGGGAACTACGTTTTAGCTCGACTCATCGTTTAGGAGACAAATAATGAGTGAGGTGAAGCACTGAAGCCATTGACGTAATTTTGGGAGCCCCCTTCAATACCGATTTCTTTTTACAAAGCCTAACTTCACCGTCGAAAAGAATCGTTACCACAGTAGAATAAAGAATTCCTCTCTTCGAAGAATTACAACTATACGAGAAAATACCTTAAATACCTTCAGACACGCTGAGTCAATATGCCCTGCGAATAGGATTTCACCACACGTTCGTTGTTTGGAGGATACCGAAGAATATTTGTCCCGAAGTAGAAAGTAGGTGCTTCCTCTGTGATTCTCGGTTCAGGTGTACCATACTTTTGATTGTCTGATGTGTTAGCATGGTTTGGATGAGAATCATTGAATAGTTACAGGCTGAAACAGACCTCATCTTATGAGAGAACTCCGCTAAGGGAACTACGTTTTAGCTCGACTCATCGTTTAGGAGACAAATAATGAGTGAGGTGAAGCACTGAAGCCATTGACGTAATTTTGGGAGCCCCCTTCAATACCGATTTCTTTTTACAAAGCCTAACTTCACCGTCGAAAAGAATCGTTACCACAGTAGAATAAAGAATTCCTCTCTTCGAAG